TATAATAAATTGTCTGCTAAAGCAGAAAATATATTTTGTAAGTCAATCGAAAGATAAAATTGCATCAAGGTTGAGAAAGTTACTTTTTAAAAGTAACGCGTTACCGTTACCGTTATTTGCGGTAAAAAGTAACTCGTTAATGTATATTGGCATGTACATATAAAACGGTTTAATACAGTCAATATTTAACAATATTACAGTTTAAATAAAACTTTTCTCTTATTTTTTCTCTGAATTATTTTTCAAAATGTGTGTAATTCTTATTGAAATAATTTTTGATCCAAATTTTAAATTACCATCAAAGTTTTTGTATTATTCTTAAACATAATGTGGAAAATTTTTTTGTTACAAGATACGTGTAATTCTTAATTACTCATATTTCTTTATACCCGAATTAATTACCGTGCATAAACAGTTAAAACGTTAAAGTTTGGATTTGAGGGATAATGCGAGATTATTTCTCGAGTGAGAAATGAGTCTCACTGCGTCAGTTATCTAGTACCTTGGGACTTTCCTTCAACAGGAGCAACAGCAACAACACTAGCGAGGGGGATTCCAAGTTGCTGATTGTGCCTACGTTTGCGAGGCTCAGGTATCTGTCTTATGTGTATTTTGTTGTTACAATTGCGAACGTCTGAGTTGTCCATCTACTCGTATCACTGCTGTCCTGCGATGTATGTACTCATCTTGGTATCTGGGCTAGGAGAAAGGCAAGAAAGCAGAAGTGCATATCGCCGCAAGACATAACAGAATGAAATCTAATAGACCGGAAGCGTCTCGCGTTCAAAATATCTCTTTGCATATCTGATGACTTGATTGATAAGGAAAGAGTGTTCCTTCCATTTCTTATATCTTTGATGATTTAAATGATATATTCACTCACAATTAGAGAGAAAGGAATCTATGTTTTTCAAACGTGTGATTGAGCATTTATAAAAAATACGAGTTTCTTATTTTTGTTTATATTTTGACATATTTAAAATTTATCAAAGAGGAACATTTGGTTGTGTTTCCTCATACCTCTTTCTTCTCGTGCCGTTTCAACTTGTATGCTAAACATTATAAAAATACCTTAATGATTAAATTAGCACTTGTACTAGTTTTGTAGTATTATTTCCATTTCTCTCGATTTTTTTCCAATATTTTTCGCAAGCCTTTTCAATGCATTCCGTCAGTTTCTCGACTTGCTTTAGAGTAGGCTAAATCTTTTGAAGAGAAGGAAATGCGAAAGATTAAAAGGTCACCATCGACTGAAGGCACAGGCACACCGAAGTCGCGGAGGTTGACGAGAGAGCAATACGCAACGTACTATAAAAGAGAAGAAAGGAAGCTTCGGGGGAAAAGTGGGAGATACTCTTTTCGCGCAGGAAAATACGTATCCGATGCCAACTAGCGCTGACTATCCCCGAGGGAACGAAGAACGACTCGTAAATACTGTGTTAACAGGAAGTACTTACAGGGAAGAAGAGAAAGGAGTTCGCTCCGTGGCGCGTTTTCTCAAATTACTCGACTGCGTATAGTTTCAGTCACAAATCTGAATATGTAGAATCGTCTTGTCCTCAAGATACTGTAGGTATATAATATTAGCGATTTAAAAAAATATAATACTTAGGAAAAGAATCTTTGAAAATAAACTTTATTATATAAATTTAAAAAGAAATGAAACCAGAAATATTCGACATAAATTTGAAAAAAATTAATTAGAAAAAATGGTTTAGAAAAGTGGGAATTATTTATCTTGCGCAAAAGAATGTCTGATATCAACTAGTTAAGTATAATATCCTTGAGAAAATAAAGAACGACTTGTAAATATTGTTATATAACAGAGAGCGTAAGAAACTCACATATTTTATGTCTTTTACATCTTGTATCTGTTTATAACAAAGATATTACATTTAATACACAAAATTGATTTGATATATTATATTAACAAAATAATATCTTTGAATAGATCACATAGAAGATATTTGAAATAATTTTTTTAATTTATTCAAGGGATTACTAGTTTTATTTCTGTTTTGAATAAATTCTTTGATTGTTTAGAGTTTTATATAATTGTAATAGAATTTATTAAAAAATATTCATTAAAAATTATTTTAAGTATAATATATTATATTAATAAAACAGACTAATTTTGAAATTATATAATAATTATTTTTGTAGAGATTCTAAAATAACATTGTAAATGATTTGATAGTTTCAGTTATTTCTGTCGCCTAAATCTGATTCTATTGTATATTTACGGTAACAAATTTATTTTTAGCTTTAAAAGAACTGTTTAATAAAATTTAGCTTGTTAAGATCAAATTCAATGATCAATAAAACAGTTTTTAACGATGTCTCAATTGGGATTGATGTAACATCTGCAATATCTTTAACATATATTCGTAATGTGTTTAAATTAATCCATTTAATTAAAAACGACACATATGAATAATATATGATTAACAGCTATATGTAACAATAAATGTGTATACTCTGGGTATATTATAAATACAAATAACGGCGCTCCATATATAAAAACGCTTCACAACGATTTAGATATCTAGGTGTCCGACCGAGTTGCATTCTTTAATTAAGCGCAACAGCACAACGCGCGCCAGTTTAGGTATCTCTACAGGTGCAAAGCGCTTTAGAGTAACTCCGGGAAGACCGCAGGAACTCATTTCGCGGCAGCAACTTTATGGAGATCGATGCTTCGGAAATAAAAGCTTCGGTATAACAGGGGCCCACACTCTCTCCCTAGAGCCTGGCTGACTCGCTGCCAGAGCGGGATGGAGTGTCATGGGATTTGCCTATTTCACTACCCGTCTACTCTTCTCTCTCTCTCTCTCGCTCTCTTTCATTCTCTCCCTTTCTCCTCTCCCTCTGCCTGTTCAGTGTCCCCCGTGAAAGTTTTACTGCCGTCTTGCTTCGTTTCGGGAACCATTCTCGATTCCTACGGCGCACAATCAAAGTTACCGATGAATATAAATGCCGAGGCTAAAAGCAGTCAACTCACCGTCGCGCGTTGACATTTCCGTTCAGCTTTTCGAGGAAGCCAATGACCTATCGTTCTCCTCTTTAACGAAGCAATTTCTACATTTCGTCGTAACGCATCGCTAAAATATTTCTTTATTCTGCTGAATTGCTTCATTGGATTAGAACAATCTCCGTGCGTTGCGTTGTATCGCAAAAAGAAGACTTTACCTCTGTAAAATGCGAGCGTAACGTATGGACTAATAAAATAAACTAGAAACACATTGTCTCTTCCCTTTTATTGCGTTTATCGCATTTTATGGACCAATTTTATGTTCGAAAGGTTAGCGACGCGTATAAATGGCAGGACTAGAACGTAGTCAATTTGACGCCACTCTCCGGCAATAGACTTCTCTTTCGATTCTAAAGAAGCCATCGATCTTTCCGCACACTCGACGCCACCGCCGTTTGACCCATCGCACTTGTTCAATATGTCATCGACCGAGAATCTCACGCATACAGTATATATAATATAAATAAAAAATATATAAAGATCTTGTCATTTCTTCTACGACATCGTATTTATATGGCGATAAATAAAAAGAACGGTATAATCTATAATATATATAGAGATCGAAATAATATAAATTTAGAAATCGATACTTTTAATTAAAAGTTAAATTATATGAATCATTAACATATTTACTTGTATTCTCTTAAATAAATTAATGATCATTTATTTTCAAATATACATTTCTTCACATTCTTTTCATACTTTTTCAAAAATATATATCTTTGCAAGTTCGAATCTATATAATTTTTTGCACTCCACATATGCAGAGATTATAATAAAATTTTCTTTATTCTTACAAAATGAATTGTGATCATAAAAGTATCAAATGACGATGGAACATAACATTTTACATTCTATTCCGTTGCATCTTAACATTTATTTCATTCAATCGTTACGATAACTGTATCATTAGAAAAGTCAATGACATCGCTGCATAGAAAAGTGACATGATAAAATTAGCAACTTTTCAATTGAGCACTTTTAAATTTATTTCTAAATTAGAACAATGTTTTAATTTAGATAGTAAATATGCATAATTTTATCAAAATGTATTTTTTAAAACTATGTCATGAGTTTGCAAAATTTAAACACTGCAACTCTAATTATGTAAGTGTCGTCTTTTATCAGAATTTTCCATAAGCAATCTATTGACAAATGTGTTTTATCAATAACAATATATCAGTCTTTATGAGAGATCGATTTCCTTTCATTATTTAAAAAATAATTTTTACTCGTGCCTGTCACCTTTCCATCAACACAACGATATGATATAAGTATGGACTAAAAATATATATATGAAAAAAAAAAAACTTTATGTTGGTAGTTCAACCTTGAAAAGGATAGTTTAATAAGAAAGGTTTCAATAATCTTCACGTGCAAGATGAAACCGCACACAACTATGTTATGTACTTGAAATTTCTTACTCGAAAAGTAGACTCGCGCAAAGTCTAATTCCGAATGCAAATGCACGATGGAGTTCGAATTACTTGGCATTATTAACGGGTTCCATCATGGCGAAATCCCTTCCGGAACGATTGAATCGCTTGGATATCGGAGTGGACATCGTCTCGGGAAACGAGAAAGAGAGATCGGAGCGGGAGAGCGCGTCAAGAACGTAACGGCGACAAATGACGTGTCGGCGAACTTGACTCTACGACAAATCGACTTGTCGCGGAATCCCATTGTTGCCTGCTGCATGTTTTCCTGAGCCTTTACCTTTTTGCCAGAAATCCGATCAGACCTCGTCCTACGTTCGAACCTGAGCGCTCTGGAATGCTTGCTTACTTCACGTTCCGTTCGATTACATTTTCGTTGATAAAAGACACCGTATTTTAAATATTATTATTCGCCAACGAGAATACGTCAGAGAATTTATTGAATATATTTTAATTTTGTATAATTCGATCATCCATAAATTATATGAAGCGTGACCTTAATTAAGATTAATTCCCAAATTAACGACAGCCACTATTTTTTATTTCCAAACAGTTCAATTATAGTAAACGTTACCGTCGACGGTAAAACTGTCGCGCGTATCACAATGTAATTAGTGTGATTAAACGAGCGTGTCAGAAATGGATAGTTCAGTCATCGTCGGAAAATTGCACGGGAGGATCAGCGTCAATCTTCGTCTGGGTCAAAAACGCCTCGAAAGTTTTCCCCAATCAAAGTCTCTTGCAAGAGATTGGTTAATTATCCGCCGTTTTAATCGAATCTCGACGCGAGCTCTCAACGGAGAGTGCTAAGCAAACCTTCGCTTATTCGACAGCATTCGAGAATAGGTTTCTGTAAATTCTCTTTTCTACCTCTCGTCTTTCTCCTTCTTTCTTCATCTATCTCCGAGATCTCGTTCTTATGTTTCACTTTCGGCTGGCCCCACGCTGACCACGCTCTTTCTCACGAGGCTGCCGCGCCTGCAACCGTACCCCAGTAGCTTCCGGTCTGGAATTTCCGGTTTAAACTAAGAGCTAATAGCACAGCCAGGGGCCCTACTGTACTTTTATCTTCCTTCGCCGCTAAACTTACCATTTTCCTGTGTATTTTCTCCCGACTTCATGACAGATTGCCGGTTGGCCAGCGCTCATGGATGGGATTACCGCGATTGAACCGTTTCGCACTATCGCCTAAGCACTCTCTGCAAGCTGCTGAGACGTCTATTTGTGCCACCAGCTTGGCTGTATTCAATACCTAGACAGATCGGGATCATTATCCTCTTACCTACAACACGTGGACGATAAACTTGAGAATTAGATGTGACTGTAGACGTCACTGAATCGCACAGAGAATTGCAATCGTGTGAGAAATATCTTCAATTATAATCCGTCACATTTTCTTAAATAAATCGTCGCGACAAAGTAGTGCAGTGAAAAATTTATAACTATTGGAAGAACGTTTTTAACAATATTGAAATTTCATATATTATTATTACCTTTTAAAATTAGTATTTTAAATTACATTTGGTTTGCCCTATATTATTATACTATAAAATCTTATCTTTTCACCTTTGACCTCCTTATGACCATCTATGACCTCCTGATTTAACTCATATTTTACTTGGGTGAAGATTGAAGATCCTTATCAAGTTATTTTTAATTTCCATGTATATAAAGTAAATCAATCCATTTCTGCCGTTAGTTTCGAAGTAAATATTAACGTATGTACTTAATAAATCATAAACTAAAAAACGATGGCACTTTAGGGCCAAAATTTGCCTATGATGAAAACGTATATGAAATCGGTCAATCATTATACTGTAAGTTTGGACACGCTCAAGAGTATGAAGTTTAAAATTCTCTTAAGTTTAAAATTTTAAGCTTTATTTTGCAGTAAAATATTTCCCGATAAACAAATAGTTACTGAATAAAAACTCTTTTTCTATCATAATAATCTCAAAAATTGCAACTATTTTTGCGATGCAAAAGTGGTCAACAAAAAATTACATTTTCATAAAGTCCTCAAAACTTTAGAGAATTTTAAACTTCATATTCGAGTTCGATACATCTAAAATCTTAACTATCTATAAAGATTAACCGATTTCACATACGTTTTTATCAGAGGCAAATTTTGATCCTAAATTGTCAACGTTCTTTGGGTGTGTGTATGTGTGAACTAAATTTAAACAAAGTTAATACATTTTCATTGTTCAATTCTGTTATTTTAATTCAATTAACGTTAAATTGACATATTGAGTAGAAGCAATAGTGATTTACGGAAATGATTAAAAATAACTCAAATCGAGTATAATTTATCACATTATATAAATTTAACGAATAATTCTATGCAGATATTTCCATTCTGATGTCCGTTCGCGTTATTAAAGGAAAATCTTTCTCTTCTTTCGGAATCATTCGATATCTGGCTGATATATTTTCAACCTATCAAGTTGGCCCATTAGCAACTATTGTCCGATTGCTATTTAAGACGAGCTCCGAACGACTCAATCAGTAAAGCATTAATAGGTAATGCAACATCGAAGGCTACTTACGATTGTAGGGGATAAAGTCGTCTTAGCGGGATCTATTCGGCGGGGGAAACGGGGAAAAGGAAGAGAAATGGCTGAAGTTGTCGGTGACAGAAAGAGATGCGCCACACCGTGTACTCGTAGGATCGCGGTCCTGAGAGACGGATTGAATATTCCAATGCACCGAGAGGCGATCAATAAATAGACGCGATTCCTAGAGAGCTATCCTGCCGGGTCCGGTCCTCTGCTATCCATTACCGATCCCTATTCAGTCCGAGGACGATGACGATTCCTCGAATGACGAGCCAGATGCACGACACCGCCGTGCTATATTCGCCCGCCTATTAGTATTCAGGCGACGACGTGACGCGCCACGGTAATGACGAGAATGTAAGGTGGGTGCAAGAGGAATAGCGGCGACGCGTGTTAACAATATTCGGGAGGACCACGGTGTATATACGCGCGCTCGATTATTATCACGAAATGGGTTATCGCGGTGTTTGCGAAAACCGGGTTCATCGAACTGCGAAGCAAAGATTGTCCTCTTAGTACACTGTTAAATATATATAGTGTTAAATTTAACCCAAATTGAACGGTTTTAACTGCTTAACGGTATACTGAGTATAGGACTAATGGTGATTTAAATTAAATCAAATTTGATACTATAGAAATTTATGTAACAGTGTACAAAATCTGAAATGTACTATTCTTCAATAATTTCTTTCTTGCTATATATGTAGATAATAATTTAATAAACGTACAAAATTTTATAGTTAAATTTTCCTGTCATCCTATATCATGAAAACGGGACAGTCTATAAACAGCCAGCAAAAATTAAAATTGCAGAAATCGAGAAATTCGTCTTGACTGCGACTGAATCTGATGACGCAATTGACTTCGTGACCGCTAAAATTATGCATATTTCATACCTTTTAAAGGACGTTGATTGCCAGATGACCTAAATTCCTTTTCTTGGACGACCAAACTTCTCAGAGTAGATTGACTCCATGTTCCAACGTGAGACGACAGTTCAAGGTTTCTTTCATCCACCAACGGAAGCGTCTCAGTAAACTTGCCTGCGGTCAGAGCCTTCCTCCGTTCCCTTAATACGAAATGATCCAGGAGATTCAGATATTCCGTTTCTAGCTTCGTGGACACCGACGATGAATACGTGCTGGTGTTATTATTGTTGAAAAAGTCCAGAAGATCGTCACCAACGTTGTTCCATTGTCCTGTCCTGGAATCTGGCGTGTTCAATTGAATGTAATTTAACACCACTTCGCCCGGCGGGTAATTCGCACCATATCGCTTCCTCAGACTCTCTTCGAGACTCTTGTAACGATAGGAATTGTAATTGCACGTTATGTCCACCACCGGCAGTTCGATTCGCGTCGCCACGAAGGACGACGAGTGCTGTGCCAGCGGGATCGTTTTTCTAATCGGCCGCTGCTGCTGGCCAACAGACGCGACACGTGACACGACAGGTGACGACAGGACGATCCTCGTCGGGCATACCAGCATTGTGGATTCAGAATCGGAGTTTAATAGGTCCGGTAACTTGGGATAGTATTGTATTATGTTGTGCCTGCATCGGGCGTCGCGGTCGTTCCTGCTCTTCGTCGAGCGGTCCCGTAACGTCGTGAATAACTTCCAAGGCTGCTGCAGCTGCAAATTCGAAATCCGGATGGCTACGTTCAGTAGACAAATTGCAGTTTTGCAATTGTTGTAAGATTCTTTAAGGTTCCTGACTATATAGTGATCACTCACCATGGATCTTCAAATTGATGACGTCAAAAGCGAGAAAATACATAATAAAAATTTAAATAAAGATATATTAAAATATATAGATATCCTTTTCAATCAAACAATAATTGCGTGATTTAAATTGTGATTATTATTTAATATATTATGAATGCTTATTTTAATATGGACATTAATATCTCGAAGCTAATCATAGAAATGGATTTACATACATTTTGACATACATAGATAGAAATTAAAAGTAATAAAATGTTTGATTTAAGGTATTATTATTGCTCCTTTGATATCCAACAATGTGACGTCACAATTTAAGAAGACTGCAATGCTTAATATATGATTTGATTAGTCTTCTTGTCCTTAATTCCTTTAGATAAATGTAAACCAATCATATTAACATTTTCCATACCAAGCTAATTTTAAATGAATTGATGTCCAAAAATTGACATCATGAGTCACTGGTATTCCACAATATTTCTGTTTGCATTTGTTATACACTTGATAAATAACATGTATTTCAAATTAGTATTAAAAGAAATAAAAAAATTACAAAAATTATTATGATAAAAAAGAATTAGCTTAATGTATTAATATTGTGTCATATATCATAATCAAGTAGTCACATAAAGTTATTTTATAATTACGTTTCTCTCTTTTTATAATAAAAATATGAAATAGTTTGAATGAAAAGTCAAGCGTGGATCAATGGTACACGAACGTGTGAAAGAATCTTACAACAGTTGGAAAGCTGCTTTTTCTGCTGAACATTGCCGACGCGACGACGACGTCGGGATAGCACGCGTGAAAAATAAACGTTTCGAGAGGCGCGAAGGGTAGAAACAAGGCGAAGTGAAACAAAGTGTGAACCGTGCTCTTACATTTTAACTTCAATATTACCGAGAGATACGGTCAAGATGATTAATGAACGCGCGTGACACTTTTTTTTTTCAATTAGTTGCCCGCCTTTAATGCATCGTGTCCTTTTACACACACGGGGGAATTTGTTACCCCGGTATTTAACCTACATACCCCCGCGAGCGTAATAAATCATTACTGCCCTTAAGACGAAAACAATTCGTAGGTGCAATTTACGATCAATTAATCTTGATCACGTACGACAAGCGTCTGCAGTTGTACGAGCAGCGGTAACATCAGGATCAAGCCCAAAATTATGGCGGAAACGCTTTCCATAGTTGTAGCTACCAAGAAATCTTGTTGCTCGCGAGATACGAGTCGGATGGATCGTTTGCGTTACCAAGCCATTTCAAAGCGCATTGCTGGCATATGTGTGGAACCGTCATCGTAGCGTCAATTTAGATCGATATGGCACGAGTCACGATTGGAAAACCGAGGCATGTTGAATTTCTAGCGCACTGTGAAGTGCGACAAATTTTCGGCACGTCGTGAACTAGGTGGTGAACGACTGTCGATCGTTCGGTAAACCATTACATTGTTATACATACGTATATAAACTGACTGTGTTTTAAAATTTATTGCAAATGCAAAAAATCTATAGTGTGTTTAAAGTGAACTATACATTTTTGGTGCTAGCAGTAAATTTTAGAAATACTTATAAGTTATAAGTGTATGTATATTTTTAAAATGAAACAATAATTCTTCTAATTTACAGAGCGAAAAGTTTTCAAATAAAATGTGATACTTTTCTCCAAATGTAAATAGTTTTTGAAATGTAACATGGAGAATGTCTCGTAACTCTATAAGGGATGAAATTGACACTACTCTACATCATATCAGTGCTGCAGTATTCAAATTTTGAAAACTCTTGGTATTTTAAAGAGAATATATTATGACTGATAGTATAACATTTCCTTTCTTTTTTGTTAATGTAAAATAAATAAATTTTATTTCATATATAATTATAACAGTATAACATGAAAAGGAAGTAACAAGTTATGCACATTTATTATTAAAACGATGTTACAATACAGAATTTTAAAAATAAAAAGTTGCTAATTTTTGAAATATGTCACTCTTCTATCAACACTATAAAATATAAATGCTTTTACATTACTATATATGATACCGTTGAGGTAATAAAACTGAATTTAGCACTGCGGAAATATTGAATACATTGATTGATTGAAAAGATTGTCGTGCTACAGCGAAACCCGCGTAATCTCCTTCTCTCGTTCTCTAATCGTTTCCTACAGAGCAAAATTGCAAACGGCCCATGCCGCTGTACTCGCGGAATTTGGGATTCTGAGATTCGCGGAATTTGGGATTTCATTATAGCATAATAATTCACAGGATTCGGCACACCGGAAGAATGGAATGACGCGCGCGGTGTCTCTATATAATAGGATGCAATTTAGACGCGGTTGAGACAGACAACGCGTCCTGCGAAGCATAAATCATGGCATGGCACTGGCCCCGCGGGGGGTTACACGTGGGCGGTCTGGCACGAGGAAAGTGGAGGGTAGAAGTGCATATCTTAATTACAATATTCCCACGGGCGGAACACAGGGACCCTTGCCCGCGCTTCGCCGACCACCATCTACCTTGCACGGCCTCGGGTATATCCCCCCCCTCCCTTACGCCCCTTAGACTTACCCAGGCAGCTTGTAGGAATTTAATTAATTTGCCAGTGGCGAGCAGGCTTGCTCCTTGTCGCCACTCTGAAATATCGTATCCTTCCCACCCTTTAAAATCCGGCCGCACACCGCCCGTCGCCTTTGCCCCTACGGCACTTGCAATCCGCGTGCGATTACCGCGCTTGATCGCCTCTTATCTCTCGTTCATCCTTTCTTTATTTTCTAATGGATACGCCTCGTGCTGAGTTACAAATCAGATTACGGCTTTATTAGTTACGACCGGAAGTGCCGAAACGCGAGAAAACGGTTGAGTAAGTCAAAACTTTTGTTGTCTGTGTACATTCGTCGGCTTCACAGCACGAATAATAAAGGTAAAGGTTCGTGCGCGAGAGAAAGAGAAGTTTTCGAGATTTCGCAGAAACCAAAATACTTGAGAAACTCGGAACTTTCCCGGAAGACTCCACGGGAATATGCCACACGGTCGACAAAGTGGAAACACTCCCGACGGTATGGATGGTGCTGGCGAACACCAAAAATCTTTCGAACCAAAGAAACGCTACGTATTTATTTCATATGAATACGGAAAGAACAATTTTACTGAAATATCTAAAAATAGATAATTAATATCTAAAAACAGATCTGAGGATATAATCTTGTTTTATCATCAAAATAATTATGTAGGAAATTCAAGCATAATATTGTAAAGTTTTGATACTTTAGTAACCAGCTCTCTCTAGTATGTAACTGTATATTTATTTTAGCTTTAGAAAGTATGATATCATGCAAGAATTAAATGATCATCATATTTCATAACGTAAATTAATGAAATATCTGATAAGATCGTACCGTGAATACATAACTTAAGTAATGAAAGCCTTATCGGTCTGAGCTAGATCTTAGTGTTTAAATGATATTTCGATGTGAATTTATATGTATATTTGTACATCCATTTCTATAATTTGTGCATCAAAATCATTTTCAGTCTTATGCAATCGAACTGAGATAGTATTAATGTCACAAATTAAATTGATAAGCAATTTGATAATGTATTATAATAAGTATTTTAAAAAGCTGTAAATAATTTATTATAAAAAATATTACTTCAGTTAGAACTCAAACTTGGATTTTCCTGACATTCCGTAACGCGTATCGTTACGCAAATTCTTCGAATTTGAAGCAAAACTTTTTCCAAATTCTGCATAAATGTATAACTTTTTGAGAACTTGAACAACCTGCTTGAGTGTCGTACATAATTATTTTGATTCTATGAGCTTAACAACATTATTTTAACAGATCTAACTGTATGTATAGATACTTCAGCAAAATTGTTCTTTCTGTACATTATTATACAAATTATAATATATCATTTGGAATAACAATCAATTTTCAATATACAATTAAATTATCACTTTAAAAAAACATTAGTTTTAACTTAATACAATAATTAATAATGGACTCCTTAAATTTCAATAAAAAAGAAAATTTAATTTGACTAAATAGGAGTCAGCGCGGTAAGAAGTGCGCAAATTTGTAGAAAAAGTTATTTAATAAAACATATGATATGCAGTTACATCGATGTTTGTTTTATATTCATTTAGCAATAGTTTTAACTTAATTAAGCTATTCATTTAGCAATAATTTTAACTTAATTAAGCAATAATCTCACAACATAAATGTCCTACAGCACGTTACAACAACGTTGTTTGAATGTTTTCCATTAGAATTTCCTAGATTCTCTACATCAGTTAACACACGTATGTTTCCGGATGTTTGGGGTGCCTGTAAAGTTCAAAGTTTCATTGAGTACCGGATTTACCACAACTTCCTGATTCCTGGCAAGTTTTGGGTCTTGGTCTTCGATGGCGATAATCAGATGACGTTAAGAACTGTTGCATCGTGAGATGAAATTTCAAACCACGTTTATACCAAATCTCCGATATTCCTGAGCACGCGTTGTCGGTCTTTCTGATGAACTAAGATAACAAAATCAATATTTATATTTTAATTGCGATACATTAATTAACTAGAAATGATTAAAAGATCTTGAAAAGATTGAACTAAAGTTTTATAGTTAGAATGTTCCTCAATAGTATTTAAGGGAATTAATTTCGAACTGAAGACGACGCGATGTCGCGATATATATAAAGACCAGCGGACTAATCGATACTGCTTGTTAGTTCTGCCTCTACATCAGTAGGTACATATTTACTTGTGTATGACTTCGTGCTTGATGCACCCTTCGTATCGCGATATGGTATTGCGCTACTATACGCCTAAATTACCATGTACATGTTTAAGCTTCGTCGGATAGCATTGCGCGATATTGGAAATTACATTGACGCGATTCATGTTGATAGAATATAAACCCAATTCTATCACTTTCAATAGAATATATTACATGACGTTACATTTTCGTGGAATACGACTGCGGGAGCAGCTTGGTTGCACGATGCTGAAATTAAGTATGAAAAACTACAAGATGTATCTTCAAAACCTTTTTGCTTTATAAACATTGTATAATTTATAACGTATGTTTAATTTTTCGTTTGCAAACCGTTTTTTTATTTATTTGGTCTGCAATCTATTTTTTTTACTGTTTTAAATTTTCAAAAAATGAGGAAAAAATCAAGGTTGCTTTTCAACATCTCTATTGCATTATGAATTATAATAATTTTTAATAAGACGTTTTAGGAAGCTGAACCGGACTCCACTCTCTTTTATAATATTTCGGAAAAGTTCGACAAAATTGAAAGTGACATTTTATTCGTCAAATAAAAATCCAGATTACAAACGGAGGATTAAAAAGCACTGTACATTACATAATCCCAAACAGTTATGATGACATCAAAATGGCTCGAAAATAGTTATATATTAAAACATTTAATATTCTATATAATTTCATTTAAAAAAATTAAGATAATCAATATTTACTTTTATAATTACTTTTCAAACACAGTCGCGATTTATTTTAATATTTTGAACATTATTTTGATATTATCGTGATCTGTTGTTTTATTTGGAATCAAGCGACGCGGTAGCGTCGCGACGCCAAGTGCATAAAATAAAAATATAACCGCTTGACGCGTGAACGTCATCATGTACATATGTCGCTACCAATTCGCGACGCTACCGCTAGCTTTATCTGGAGTATTGACATCGACAAACTTTAGATTAAAATCACTCAGAAATTAAAAGCACAATCAAAAATCTAAAAACACTTTTATTACCTATATAAAGTCACCGGTATCTTTCGATTGCGATCAGTCCGAATAACATTGGTGCAGCCAATAACGAAATCTAGAGACCAAGCCTCGAAAAGGGACAGTTTCAAGTTTTTTTCAGTCGTACGTATGACACATACATGTAAAGCATTTTGTCCATTATTAAGCTGCTGTTCACAACGTTTACATTCAAAAATAAATTAAAAATTAATTTAAATTAAGTAAAAAATGAAATAAAGTAATAAAATAAATTAAATTAAAAAAATTAATTAAATAAAATAAATAAAT